AGGTGTCAGTAGAGTTGTGCCTCCTCCCAAGGTCCTGGAGGAGAATTCTTCCTTGTCTCTTCCAGCTTCTAGTGGCTCCAACCATCCTTGGCTTGTGGCTACCTCACTTCAATCTCTACCTCCATTTTCACATGGCTTTCTCCTCTCTATCTGCTCTTCTGTCTCTTATAAGGACATTTGTTACTGGATTTAGGGCCAGCCTATTAATCTAAGATGATCTTCTCTCAAGATCCTTAACTTTTTCCAAATAAGGTCACGTCTGCAAGTATTGGGGGTTAGGACTTGGATGTATCTTTGTGGGAGCCACCATTCAACCCACTACACACCAATGGAATCAGGACTTCAGACACTCACATGATGTGTCCCAACTGTTGGTTCAAAAACTATGCAGATTATAGTCGCAGGAGAAGTGAAAATTCCCTGAGACACTGCACCCTGTTCCTATGGTGGTCATTTCCCTGACTTTCACCTTCTTTTAACACGTAGCATTTATACCAGACCCAGGGAAAACCGCTGAAGAGGTTGTGCTCTGTTTTGAATTGTAGATAAACATTTGTTTCCTTGTTGGTTGGCTGATGGTTAGGATGCAGGTGGGAGAATGCCATGGGTTGGGAAGGTCAGTACAATCCTGAGAAAAACCTTTTCTTCAATTTGCACCCAAAGGCCACTGTTTGTAGACATGTCCTTTATGCTGGAACTGGTTTTTTCTTCTTGTTTTGTTCTTTCTTTCTTTTTTTTTTCTTATAGAAAGTAAGACTGAGAGCCGGTTCGTGGTGGCTCACGCCTGTAATCCCAGCACTTTGGGAGGCCAAGGCGGGTGGATCACGAGGTCAGGAGATCGAGACCATCCTGGTCAACATAGTTAAACCCCGTCTCTATTAAAAATACAAAAAATTAGCTGGGCATGGTGGCGTGTGCCTGTAATCCCAGCTACTCAGGAGGCTGAGGCAGGAGAATTGCCTGAACCCAGGAGACGGAGGTTGCGGTGAGCCAAGATCGCGCCATTGCACTCCAGCCTGGGTAACAAGGGCAAAACTCCGTCTCAAAAAAAAAAAAAAAGAAAGAAAAGAAAAAAAAAGAAAGTAAGACTGAGAATCTATGATCCACTGAGAGAATTTTTTGTAAATCAGAAACTTGGCGTGTCAGTACCTAACCTTGCAGCCCACCTTTGTGAGAGAAGAATTGCAGCTGCCACTTGTAATTGAATTTCAGAGACATTTCAATAGATCAACAATCAGGTGGACTATACTATAATGCTATTTTTAATTATCAGTGTGTGAGCTCTTAATGCTAGTTTGACTTTCTGCCAAAGACATGCGGACAGTAGTAATTGCCAGTAGGAGCAACTTCATCTGATGTTCAGGAAAATAAAGCTAAGGGGAACTCTGCGGAAGTGTCAGATGAAGGCGCTCTGTAGAGAGCACAAAGCCTAAAGCCCCTCCCTGGTCACCGCTGCTGCTCATGCTGTGTTGAGTTCTGGGGCATTAAGTGTGTCCACAATGTTGTGGAACCATCACTATCATCCATCTCCAGAACGTTTTCATCTTCAGCTGAAGCTTCAGACTCATTAAACACGACTTCTCTATTCCTCGTTGCTCAAGCCCCTGGCAACCGTCATTCCACCTCTCATCTGTGAATTTCACTATTCTTGGTACCTCATCTAAGTAAAATCATGCAATACTTGTCTTTTGTAAAAAACTCATTTCACTTAGCATAATGTCCTCAGGATTCATCCATATTGCATGTAGCATATGTCAGAATTTTTATTCTTTTTAAGGCTGAATAACATTCTGTTTTAGGATTATATCATATTTTGTTTATTCATCTGTCAATGAATATTTGGACTGTTTCTACCTTTTAGCTATTGTGAATAGTGCTGCTATGAATATGGGTGCAGAAATCTATTCAAGATACAGCTTTCAGTTCTTTTGGGCACATACCCAGAAGTGGACTTCCTGGATCATATGGGAATTCTGCATTTAATTTTTTTGAGAAATCAGCATGCTGTTTCCCACAGTGGCTACATCATTTTTTATTCCCACAAGCATTTCACACGAGTTCTAATTTCCCCACATCCTTGCCAACACTTGCTATTTTCTGTTTATTTGTTAATAATGACCACCCTAATGGGTGGCAACCCATTTGGATTTTTAAATAAATTGCATTTTCAAAAAAGTTTTTTCATATGTTTCTTGTGTGTGTTTCGTTTGTCTCTTTACTTTGAACTTTCTGTTATTCCTCAGCATTTCCTTAGCTCCTGACATGTTGCTTCAAATGTCTAGGAACTCTCCCTATGGCCCCCCTCTCTTTGGAATGAGAAGTTCAGATCCCTTACAGTCTCTTATTGTTCTTGATTTGGGATTTTTGGTCATTTTTTTCTCTATATGGCTCTGAACAGTATTCCTAAGGTTGGACACAGCACAAAACAAAATAGCAGAGAGAGAGAGAGAGAGACAGAGAGAGAGAGAGAGAGAGAGAGAACGAACACAAGTGCTCTCCTCCACCCCTGGGAATGGAAGGGCGCCTGGAAGCAGAGGGATTCAGCATAGTTGATTCTCAGTGGCTTCCGGTCAGTCCTCCTAGAAGAGGAGGGGAGCAGTGTGGTTTCTTAACTGTTCTTTAGCTGCTTTCTAATGAACTTTTCTTCATGGGAGGACATTTCAAGGTTTCCCTGAGTAGGAATTTTCTCTTTCTGTGCTTTGCACAGCCACTGGTAAACTGAGATCCCCGAAAAAGTAAATATTTCTAAATGTGGAAACATAGCTTACAACCAAGTGAATAACATTTGGCTAACAAAGAGCATGGAACTATCAGATGGAATTAGGGCCACGTGCACACAGTACAAAAGCTCCAGATGCTCGTGTTAATTCAGTTACAGTGGAGTCAAAGAATCAGTGGAGCTGGTCCTTTGGACCAACTGGTCATGTAAATACAGATGGCCAGCACATGCCCAGCTTGACTCATTGGTCAAAAGAGTAGAGATTTATTGACATATACGGGAATATTCTTTTCCTATTGAAAGATGGCTGTGTGTTATACTTATTTCTAAAATTATTAGTATCATGAATGACCCATTCATGAAGCACCCGCCCTGTGTTAGGAAGTGACGGAGTAAAGAACCACACCTGTGATCTCAGAAGAGCGTCTTCTAGGACATGACGTAAAGGAACTTGCTGATTTCATGTCACAGCACTTAAGTATGGCTTAAGTCAGTGGTTGGCAGGCATTTTCTGAAAAGGTCAGAGGGTAAATGTTTTAGGCTTTGTGAACCGTAAACAAATGAGCATGGCTGCCCAGATAAAGTTCCTAAAACTTTATTCATGGGCACTGAAATTTGAATTTCCTACCATTTTTTACCTGACACAAAATGTGATCCTTCTCATGAGTTTTTTTTCAACCATTTTAAAATGTAAAAACCATTCTTAGCTCCAGGCTGTACAAAAAGACTTGGCCCGTAGATTTCAATTTATAAAACCCTTGGAAGTCATAGCTTCCAAGAATGTTTCTTTTTGATGCTCAGATTTTTGTATGTGTAGGAAAACTTGGATGCAGGCAAAATAAAAAGTATGTTCTAGCACGTCGTTTATGAAGATTTGAATTTACGAGATGAAAACAAATATTTCCGGCCGCGTGCCTCAGTGTAATTTGCTTTGCTGATTTAACATCTTCCTGAAGGCAGAATTTTAGGTAGTAAAGTTAATCTGCCAAGTGGGAAAGGAAGATGGAAGTTTAAAAACTCTAGCACTGCCTATGAAATCTTAAATCCTGCGTTTATGCTATTTGCATGTTCATTTCCTCTTTTACAAAATGCTCCTGGGATTCTTACGGTTTCATTGTTAGTGAAAATTGTTTCTTTTTTTTCTCTTCACAATCCTGTATTATAAATTCTCAAAACCTGGCACTTCATGGCACATTCCTTTTGAATGTCTCTAATTCTACAATTTTATACACCCCCTTATTTTCAAAATTTAATTAGTTTCCAGAAGTTCTGCAGAGAAAATGAGCCATAGTAATTCTTGATTGTTTCCACTTATCTTCTTATAATTTGATACAAGAGGATTTTATTGCATTTTAAAGTAGTTTTAATTTGAAAAAGATGGTCTTCTCCAAGTTTAACTTCATACAGTAGAAATAATTTAACTACTATTTTCTAGTTCTAGAAGTATTTTTCTATCTAAAAAATTGCTTTTCCCAAATTATTATACCACCATTGTGTTAGTCTGTTTTTACACTGCTAAGAGGGCATACTCAAGATTGGGTAATTTATAAAGAAAAGAGGTTTAGTTGGCTCACAGTTCTGCATGACACGGGAGGCCTCAGGAAACTTACAATGGTAGCAGAAGGGAAAGAGACATGTCTTACGTGGCTGCAGACGAGAGAGCAAAATGCACGAGAATGCAGGAAAAACTACCATCTAGAAAACCATGAGATCCCGTGAGAATTAACTCACCGTCACAAGAACAACATGGGAGAAGCCTCCCCCATTATCCAGTCATTTCCCACGAGGTCTTTCCCCAAACACCCAGAGATTACAATTCAAGATGAGATTTGGGTAGGGATACAAAGTCTAACCATATCATCCATGATAATAATTTAACTACTTCATGGTTCTAGAAACACCTAGAACACCGAAGTTCTAAGTTATCGTTGACTAGACCAATGCCAGAAATTTCATACCCTTTAACCTCTCAGTATAAACCAATTGTTGACAATCCCGGTCTTTACATTCACAATAATGGCCAAGCAAGGCTTCCTATTATGTTTCCTACTCCACCAAAACATTCAATAACAGCCTCTAGTAAATTGTAGAATTAAAATCTTTTCATTGTTTCCCACTATACTAACTATGGAATCTTCTCCACCTGGTGATAAAGATGCATTTGGTTTTCAGTGCCTCAAGCATAGCAGGCTCACGAGAAAATTCACCTCCCCAGTTTGCCCTTTGCAGGTTTCCTCTGTAAGTCATGAAACAAAAAGAGCTCGAAGAGACATTGCTCATTTATTATAATTTCTTATTTTAAAGAAGACAAAACTGGCAATCAGAGATGTTAGGCTCCCACTGTGAGTGATTTACAGAGTCAAGTTGAGGAGAATCCAGTTCTGCTGATTCACTGTAGTGCGGCGTCCTACCCATGATCTGCTTGTTCTTGGGGCATTATCATGATTCCTTGTTTCTATCTTAGAAGTGAAGAAGTGTCCTATAAAGACTTTCCTCTTCTTAGTTCACTCTTCTGAATATATAATGTAAATCAGCTAACAATGAACAAAGCAGAAAAGACAAAGAGAACATAAGAGAGTCCAGATAGTCAGGAACTGGTCATGGTGCCATAAGTAATCACTAGCATAAACATAAAAGAATGAATAAAGAGCACATGTTTGCCTTTCTTCAGGTTGGCAGAACATATATATATGTTACCAGAATTTCCTGTGCTTTAGAATTTCTCTCTGAAACCCTCTAGAACTTACCTAAACTCAATGGAAGACTGAAGCCATTAACCATTGTTTTGTTGGAAATTTTTTGTTTCTGTATATTTCTGTGTGCATGAAAAATACACACCTGTATTGATTTGCTAAAATTTTTGTGATAAATCACCGTGCTCTGAGTGGCTTAAACGCAAAAATGTATTGTCCCACACTTCTGAGGGCTGGGGGTTCAAGATAAAGACATTGGCAGGGTTGGTTTCTTCTGAAAGCTGTTAGGGAGAATCAGTTCCAAGCCTCTCCCCTAGCTTCTGGTGTTTGCTGGCAATCTTTGGTTTTCCTTAGCTTACAGAAGCATCTTCCAATCTCTGCCTTTGTATTTACGTGCCCTTCTTCCTGTGTCTTTGTCAAAGTGTCCTTTTCTTATAAGGCCACCAGTCATATTGATTTAGGGGCCCGCTCAACTCCAGGATGACCTCATCTAACGAGTTTATCTGCAATGACTGTATTTCTCTCTCTCTCTCTCTCTCTCTCTCTCTCTCTCTCTCTCTCTCTCTTTTTGAGATGGAGTCTTACTCTGTCTCCCAGGGTGAAGTGCAGTGGTGCGATCTCAGCCCACTGCAACCTCTACCTCATAGGTTCAAGCAATTCTTCTCCCTCAGCCTCCTGAGTAACTGGGACTATACGTGTGCGCCACCATGCCCAACTAATTTTTTGTATTTTTAGTAGATACAGAGTTTCACCACATTAGCCAGGATGGTCTTGATCTCCTGACCTCCTGATCCACCTACCTCAGCCTCCCAAAGTGCTGGGATTACAGGCATGAGCCATCACGCCTGGTCCTGCAATGACCCTATTTTCAAACAAGGTATATCCCGACATATTGGGAGTTAAAACTTCAACCTAGGAATTTTGCGGGGGCACAGTTCAACCCACAGCAACTCCCTTCACTGAGATACTGCAAAAAAATAAGATAACTATTTTGTTCACTGTAAAGTTTCATATAGACACTTCTTAAGCTGAAAAAATTTTGTTAACAGTTCATATGTTTGGACACTGAAGGGCAGTATAACACTATGAATAATTGCAAAAAGAAGTTTATGACTTGATTGCTTTAGAAATTACATGATGATGATGATGATTTTGTTTAAATGAATTTATGACTATGACTATCATGTATGGTGATTTTAACCTTATTTTTATCTGATTACACTTTATATTAAAGTCAGACTTAAAACTTGTGGATAACACATTGAAGTCTGTCTAAATCAGAAACGAGGAGAAAACTTCAATTTTGAGATTTGCATTGAATGGCTATGCCTTTTCTGTGATTTTAAACCTTTAAATTGCTGTTCATTGTGGTAGTTCAGGCTGAGATCTCATTTCCTTTAGCGTTAAGGAAGTTACGACCGGCGTGGACCAACGTTTGAGCCTCAAGGGAATTTTCAATGATCTGCTTGTCAAGTACTTGAAAAGAATATTATTTCATGGGATGCAAGGGGAAAGTTTATCTTAATTTCGTTATTGCACTGTATAAAAGAAAAATGGATACTATACAGCAGGAAGGAAAATATGGTTTTCATGCACTGTGGCCAGCGCTCATTGCAGTTCTAATATGCCTGTGGCTGTCTGAATCCGACAGCTGTTAGACAGAATCATTTTCAGTGTAAAACCGGTACAAGGAAAGGACAGACTGGAACCCACTGATTTATTTTGCTCTCTGTTCCTTGATAGTTGACTCTGAGAGTAATCTTGGAAGTTTATGTTTCACCAACGTTAACTTACGGGCTACATTGCTATTATTTGCTTTTTTCAGAACATTTGCATTGGGCCTGACATGTCTATGCATTATCTTATCAAATTCTTTCAGTCATCCTGGGAGGCAGATGCAATATTATCCTCATTCTTTCTGTGAAGAAATGTGTTGAACAGGTGACCCAAGTCGCCCATTCATGGAATTGACTTTTAAACTTGAGTTTCTCTGACTCTGGAGACTATGCTCAAAACCTCTACCCTATGCTGTTCTATATTGCTGCATTGTTTAAAGTGAATTGGAACATAAAAATATGTAAACATGAGCATGTTCTCATCCAAATAACAAAAGCATCTTCCTGTGCTGGGTAGATGTTCTGTACATAAATGGACTGGACCACTAGGGACATTCAGAGCCAATTATGACATCGTGAGAGCAGGCCATCAGTAATATGAGACAAGTTTGTGGAAGGAGAAAATGATCATGTCAACTCATTCCTGATTTGTGAGAAATGCAATAAATAAAAATACACCGTTAGAAATTATTTGTGAAAAGCTCTGATTTTTTTTTGGCCAGGCATGGTGGCTCATGCCTTTCATCCCAGTACTTCGAGAGGCTGAGGCAGGAGGATTGGCTTGAGTCCAGGAGTTCAAGACCAGCCTGGGCAACATAGTAGACCCCATGTCTACAAAAAATTTAACAGTTAGCCAGGTGTAGTGATGAGTGTCTGTAGTCAGCTTTTGGGGAGACTGAGGCAGAGGATTGCTTGAGCCCAGGAAGTTGAGGCTACAGTGACCTATGATCCCACCATGGCACTCCAGCCTGGGCAACAGAGATCCTGTCTCTAAAATAAATAAATAAGTAAACTAACAAACAAACAAATAAAAGCTCTGATTTTTATCCTTTCACTCTGATGTCTTAAACACATTTCCCCAGATAGCTGAGTTTTATTTACTCTGCTTCCTTCCAACTAAAGCTAACATTTTTAATAGCTTTTCACGGCCCCGGTGATTTTTTCACATTTGAGCAGAGAAGATGTGGCCAAGAGGAAATTAGTGCACATGGTAGATTTTTATTTTTAGAGAGTGATCATTCATTTTTAAGGTGAAGTTGGTAGCTTTTAAAACCATGATTTGCCCTTGCAGCCAGAGATCCTTAGAAAAAGGGGTGAGAAAGGGAAGTAGAAGGAGCTTCTTGGCTTTGCTGGAGGGGTTGAGTTTTGTTCCACCTCTACTGGGCTGGTAACATTCGCTCTAAAATGTCCTGTTGTAAATTCTCCTCTTTATTTCTCTCCCCTTCTTTCCAGGAGTAAGTCATGATGATCAAGCATAGGAAAAGAGAGGAAGGAGACAGGAAACAATCTGTTGACTAATACAACCCTTTCCCAGGACAGGAATGTAAGCACATGTAGACACATCCATGTACACGTGTGCATAAACATGTACACATAAGTGCACACACACACACAAGACTTGCTGTATTGGTATTTTTATGAGCTCTAATTTCTAGGAGTGGTTGGTCTTGACTGTGCCCTACCCTGCCTTTGGAAATTACAAGAGCTAGAGTCTGTCCGGAAGCTTGGTAGTCTCTCCTGAGATCATAGATACAGCCAAGAGTACTGGCTCTGCACATATTAACCATGGCTGCTGGAATTCTCTCCTGGAGACTACAAACTGCCTGCCCACGGGTTGAGTCCAGGACATGGACATGTCTCATTTGGAATACACAGTGTTTCTTATAAAACATGATTTTGTTGCCAACTTTTTAAAAATCAGGGGCTTTCAAATGAAAATCTGATTTCACTTTCTCATAGGAAATTAATCAATCTGGCCTACTTTCCTGCATGACAAGTGTTGAGCTGCCCCATTTATGGGTGGGGCATGTTCCAGGTCAGTGCAGTCCCCATCAATTTCCTATTGTCTGCCTGTGTTAGTGGCCATTGATCTCTCTGTTTGCATAGTGTTTTATTATGTCTGGCCCACTTCACTGTGTGTGTTACCTGCCAGGTCTCTGTAGGCTTTTGAAGTCATGTTGCTTTATGCCTTGGTTCATGCATCATAGCGAGATGGAAACCAGCCCTATGTTACTCACTCAACTCTAGATTTAGATAAAAAAGAATTAATTATAGATGCTCTAATATACATAATATACAATGAAGACAAAGAGGAAATGTTGACATAAGGTATTTTTGTCACCATATATAATTTTTAAAAGACATTAAGAATATCTCCAAGTTTGTATTCATAGTCGTGTACCCACATCAGAATTTATTTATGAAAACATAATGGTTTGAAACCAAGCCTTCATTTTGAACTGCAATTTTTTCAATACTATTGCATCTCTCTCTCAACCTTTCATTAGCTGTGTTTAGATCTTAATACAATTATGTAAAAACAGTATTTTATTCAAACAATGCCACGGAATGTTTCCATTTATAATTTTAAGAGCTCACTTGCTCTCAAATATATTTTTTGGAGAGCAAATACTTTCCTCCAATATTTTTAAAGCCATGTAAATATGTTTAGTAGCTGCATTTAAGTATGGGTGAAAAAAAATAAATTCATTCCTAAAATAATTTTAGAATTCTAGGTTGCCTTTGTACTGAATAGTACTGGGATGATTATTATCAATTAGAAGTGGTTAAGCACCCAGTGAGCTTAATATAGACTATATATCTTAACCCATAGATATATAGAGTTATATCTTAACCCATATAGACTAATATGCTGCACAGAGCACTCAAGAGACAAAAGGCTCTGTCCTCAGCTCATTTAGAACAAAATCCAAAGTTTTGTAGGGGCTCCCCTTATGGGGATAGTAGTGTTGATGGTAATGATGGTGATAGTGGTGTTAATGGTGGTGGTGGTGGTGGTAGTTATGCTGAGGTTGATAGTACAGTAGTGGTGATGGTGATGGTAGTGATGGTATGTGATGGTGATGGTGGTGGTTGTCATAGTTATATGTTAATGGTGGTGATGGTTATAGTGGTGGTGGCGGTAGTTATAGTGGTGATGGTGATGGTTATAGTGATGCAATGGTGGGGGTGATGGCTATTGTAGTGGTGCTGGTGGTAGTGGTGGTTATAGAAGTGATGGCAACGATAGTGAAAGTAGTGGTAGTAGTGGTGGTAGTGGTAGTGGTGGTGATAGTGGTAGTGGTGGTGGTAGTGGTGGTAGTGGTGATAGTGGTAATAGTGGTGGTAGTAGTGGTGGTAGTGGTGATAGTGGTAGTAGTGGTGGTAGTGGTGGTGGTAGTGGTAGTAGTGGTGGTAGTGGTGGTGGTAGTGGTGGTAGTGGTGGTGGTAGTGGTAGTAGTGGTGGTAGTGGTAGTAGTGGTGGTAGTGGTGGTGGTAGTGGTGGTAGTGGTGATAGTGGTGATGATTATAGTAGTGGTAGTAGTGGTAGTAGTGGTGGTAGTGGTGGTGGTAGTGGTGGTAGTGGTGGTAGTAGTGGTGGTAGTAGTGGTGGTAGTGGTAGTAGTGGTGGTAGTGGTGGTGGTAGTGGTGGTGGTGGTGGTAGTGGTGGTAGTGGTGGTAGTAGTGGTGGTAGTGGTAGTAGTGGTGGTAGTGGTGGTGGTAGTGGTGGTAGTAGTGGTGGTAGTGGTAGTAGTGGTGGTAGTGGTAGTGGTAGTAGTGGTGGTAGTGGTGGTGGTAGTGGTGGTGGTAGTGGTGGTAGTAGTGGTGGTAGTGGTAGTAGTGGTGGTAGTGGTAGTGGTAGTAGTGGTAGTAGTGGTGGTGGTAGTGGTGGTAGTGGTGGTAGTAGTGGTGGCAGTAGTGGTGGTAGTAGTGGTGGTAGTGGTGGTAGTGGTAGTAGTAGTGGTAGTAGTGGTGGTAGTGGTGGTAGTGGTGGTAGTGGTAGTAGTAGTGGTAGTGGTGGTAGTGGTAGTGGTGGTGGTAGTGGTGGTGGTAGTGGTGGTGGTAGTGGTGGTAGTGGTAGTAGTGGTGGTAGTGGTAGTAGTAGTGGTAGTGGTGGTAGTGGTAGTGGTGGTGGTAGTGGTAGTAGTGGTGGTAGTGGTAGTGGTGGTGGTAGTGGTGGTGGTAGTGGTAGTGGTGGTGGTAGTGGTGGTAGTGGTGGTAATGGTAGTAGTGGTGGTAGAGGTGGTAGTAGTAGTGGTAGTGGTGGTGGTGGTTATAGTGGTGATGATTATAGTGGTGGTGGTTATAGCTGTGATGGTGGTGATGGTTATATTGGTGGTAGTGGTGGTGATGGTGGTTATAGTGGTGGTGGTGATGGTTATAGTAGTGGTGGGGGTGCTAGTGGTTATAGTGGTGATGGTGAAGATAGTGATAGTACTGGTGGTGGTACTGGTGGTTACAATGGTGGTGATGGTAGTGGTGGTTATAGAGATAGTGGTGGTGGTGGTTATGGTAGTGGTAGCAGTTGTTATAGTGCTGGTGGTGGTTATAGTGGTGGTGGTGGTTATGGTTAGATTAGTGGTGGTGGTGGTGGTGGTTAGAGTAGTGGTAATGATGGTGATGGTTAGATTAGTGGTGGTGGTGGTTATAGTGATAGTGGTGGTGGTAGTTATGGTAGTGGTGGCAGTTGTTATAGTGCTGGTTAGATCAGTGGTGATGGTTAGATTAGCGGTGGTGGTGGTTATAGTGGTGATGGTAGTGATGCTTAGATTAGTGGTGGTGGTGGTTATGGTTAGATTAGTGGTGATGGTGGTTATGGTTAGATTAGTGGTGGTGGTGGTGGTTAGATTAGCGGTAGTGGTGGTTATGGTTAGATTAGTGGTGATGGTGGTTATGGTTAGATTAGTGGTGGTGGTGGTGGTTAGATTAGCAGTGGTAGTGGTTATAGTGATAGTGGTGGTGGTGGTTATGGTTAGATTAGTGGTGATGGTAGTGATGCTTAGATTAGTGGTGGTGGTGGTGGTTAGATTAGCGGTAGTGGTGGTTATGGTTAGATTAGTGGTGATGGTGGTTATGGTTAGATTAGTGGTGGTGGTGGTGGTTAGATTAGCAGTGGTAGTGGTTATAGTGATAGTGGTGGTGGTGGTTATGGTTAGATTATTGGTGGTGGTAGTGGTGGTGGTGGTGATAGTGGTGGTGGTGGTGGTTATGGTTAGATTAGTGGTGGTGGTGATAGTAGTGGTGGTGGTGCTAGTGGTTATAGTGGTGATGGTGGTAGTGGTGATGTGTGATGGTGATGCTGGTGATGTTTATAATGGTGGTGGCGGTGGTTACAGCAGTGATGGTGGTGATGGTTGTAGTAGTGTGTGGTAGTAGCGGTGATGGTGGTCATAGTGGGGATGGTGATGATGCTTATAATGGTGGTGGTGGTGGTGATGCTAATAATCATTTTAGGAATGTTAGCTTTATGGGATTGTTGTTGTTTAAAAAACATCCTTTACTTAAGAAGACTCATTTGCACTGTATAAAAATACCCTTTAATCTCAAGCTATATTGCAGAGAAGTAGATTCAAAATAGAAATGTTTAAAGCAACAAACTCCACACTTTAATGTCAAGTGACCTTTATAAATGTTCCTGGAAAAAGCATACTTCCATGACTTAGGGACTATTATTTTTCACAATCTCAGGCATCAAGCCAGTGCACAAGAACATACCAGGCAAAGTGATTTATGTTTTCAGCTCTCAAATATATGCCAATACTTTTGATACTTACAATTTTCTTTCAAAACTTTTTAAAAAGGATTTTACCAAACAGTCCTTGTGAGGAATCAATGTAACATCATGTTTCAAGTCCCTCTTAGGGCCTCATGCCTCATGGGTCTTAGCACTGGTCCTGGGCTCCTTCTAAAAAACATCAAGAGGGAAACTCATAGCACCAGAATGCATTTATGTGAATGTTGAATAAGAGACAACAAAATCATAAGAGAGCAATGAGTTGCTTTAAAAACATTTTTAAGTCCTGACTCTATCTGAGAATGTTGCCTGACACAGATTTTCTGGGTTGGGTTTGGTTCTCTGGGTTTGAACCTGACTTTTGTAACTTTGTCTGCATGCCAAGAGTTCTATAAAGCACCTTACACTAGCTGATTAGTGACTCTGTTCTTTCTCTCTGAGTTTATTTTGCCCAGACCTATTCTATTAATGATGTTTTGTGGGCTTATGTACATTTAGTAGGAGAATCTCAGAGAATCATTTCTTTGCTCTTCATCTTGGCTTTTATAAATAGTAACCACCCTAACAAAGAACATACAGTAAACTCATAAAAGAATAAACATTTGAAAATCTTTTTTAACAGTATAATTATTTTCAAAGTTTTATATGGATGTTTGTAGATCAAAAGTTGAATGGACTGAATCCAGGCCAGAGGAGCATTTGTATGGGTTTACATAGTACCACAGATTTAATTTTTTAATTGGGGATGTTAAATTTACAACAATTCTTTCTATTAAAATATTTTCAGAGAAAGTAATATTGGAGCACAGTGCCTGATGCTGCTTGCTTTGGAAAGGGCATTTATGATCCAGTTTGCCTCTGATGGCTTTTTTTTTTTTTTTTGGCCCAGCCTTCACCCATCCATATTCCCTGCCTATCCCTGGTTGGTCCCGTGTTTATGACTCCTGCTGTGAACACTTCTTGGCATTGGTGATGAGAACTTGAAGTATTCCTCAAAATGACTTGAAGATAGCGTTGTGTCCAATATCACTCCCCAAGCATTATGCAGACGACCAGCCATATGTTCGGTGCCACATTTTACCCCTTAAGGATTTCCAAAAGAGTCTGTATTATGTGGCTTTGTGTTTCTCTTAATAGTTTTCTTTCTTCTTTTGCCAGTTATCATAGTAAGATGTTTCTGCCTAATTAGAAACCATGCCACAATCTCAACTACCTACTTGCATGAATCTTTTGGGAGATCCTCTCAGCAGTAGAATATAAGTTTAATCTTTTTCTATCCCGGAAGATGATGAATTCAATCAGACGATTCAGATAAGCCAATTTCCTGGGCTTGGCCACACTTAATCTTGACCACATTGTAAGGTCATTGGCTTAGGTTAGCTTCTGGGTTCAGACCAGAGATTATTTGTACCCTCTCCAAAGAAACTACTGTGTCACAGTTTTCATTTTCTTAGACTATCCTTTAATTCCTTAAGTGAAAGGCAGGCAAGTAGGTAAGCTATTCTAAAAAGGAGATACACAACAGTAAAGGATGTCTTAGTGGGAGAAGCCAAACAGAGTAATAGGACTGATGTGGTATTAACTTGGCAAAAGACCAGGATTAGAAACCTTCTGAGTAATCACTATTCTTCATACCTCTCTTTCCCAGCTATTTTAAGACTTTAGTCTTCTATTCTTAAATAATAGCCCAAAATCCCTCAGAATTTTGTTTAACACAGACACCTACCTACTATGCCTTACTAACATCAGCACTGAGAGCAGTAGCTGCTCGGCCCTGGTGTTCTCTACAAGCCAGGCATGGTACTGATAACATACAGTATCTCATTGAATCCTCACGAAACACTACAGGGTAAAAGCATTGGTAGCTCCATTTTACATATGAGGAAACTGAGGCTTGAAGATGTTAAACAGTTGTCCAGGGTCACACATCTATCAGGTGGCCGAGCCAAGATACTTAGTCAGTATTTGTTACTAGAAGGTCATTTTACACCTTGGTTTGGTCTGGACATTTGTATCCCCCAAAATGCCTACATGTTTAAATCCTAACCTCCAAGACGATGTAATAGGAGGTGGGCCTTTGGGAGGTGATTAGGTCCATTAGGTCACAAGGGCATCATCCCCATGAATAGAATCAGGGCTCTTATTAGAGGTCCCAGGGAGGTCCCTTGTCCCTTCCACCTCCTGAGGCTACAGTGAGAAAGCAGGCCCTCACCAGACGCCAAATCATCTGGTGCCTTTATCTTGAACTTCCAGCCTCCATGCTGTGAGACATAAATACCAGCTCTTCCTGAACCACCCAGTCTATGATATTGTTGTTATAGCAGTCCGAATGGACTAACAGACACCTTTTGCAAAACAGAACAGGCTCACACCTGTAATCCCAGCACTTTGGGAGGCCATGGCAGGCAGATCGTCTGAGGTCAGGAGTTCAAGACCAGCCTGACCAACATGGAGAAACCCTGTCTCTAACAAAAATACAAAATTGGCCAGGTGTGGTGGTGCATGCCCAGAGTCACAGTGAGCCAAGATCGCTGCATTGCACTTCAGCCTGGGCAAGAAGAGAGAAACTCCACCTCAAAAAGAAAGAGAATGAAATGTTAGTATTTAGAAAAACAGGGTAGATAATAAAAGATGAATCACTTAGAATAGGTTGCAGTCTGCTTAGATATGTCTGAATCCATGAAAGATTGTGAACCACGCATCAAAGCTGCCTTTGGGTCAGAGAGTGTGTTCGACAGCAGGCTGCAATAGCTGATGTCCATGTCAACTACAGCAGCCGCGAACACATCCAAGGAAGAGACACACTTTCAATTCCATAACTGACTTTTTCTGATTCACCCAGCGAATTAAATTCCTAGCATTTCCAAGGAGAATATTTCTTTTTTTCCATTTCTTTAAAGCATCAGCCTGTTAGTTTGAGTGTTATCTCCTAGCCTGTTCTGAATTTCAACAGTATTATTCATTTTTGCAAAAGAAAAGTCTTAGAGCTTCATGTTTTAAACATGTAAAAGTACTTTGAGGATATTTATTTTCTTCTTTCTGTTAATTATTATTACTTTACTAATTCATTTTTTATTCACATATTTTCCTCTGGCCAAGAGCCAGAATTTTTAAAATCAGAACCTTCTAGCCATAAGAACTAGAGTAAAATAAATTATCACTTGCATAAATTTATCATCGAAGTGTGAAAACAGAAACGTAAGGAAGGGATGGAGAATGTGTTTTTATGACAATAACATAACACATTTCTAATATTTGGCTATAAAACTAATTGTGAACATATTTTAGAACCAGAAACATATGGAATTACATGATTATAGGACAGAAAAATTCACAGTGGTTGATTTATAATATCATGTGGCATAAAAATACTCATTGCTAAGAGTGGAGAGAAGAAGCCAAGTATGGAATGAAATTGGAAGAGGAACCTCCTCTCAGTTCAGTTTTGGCAGGATGAGGAGCCCCATATGTGCCAAGTTTTAACTGAAAGCTAATTATAATGGTCACATTATGAATTGTGCAGAAAGAGGAAGGTTGTTAACTTGGCGCCTTAGATACATAGGTAACTAGGGTTTTTTTTTTTTTTTTTTTTTAAGTATAAGCATTCCTTTTTGGTAAGAAGCATCTCATTAAAATGTTAACCCCAGAACCTTTAAGCCTACCATCTTTAACTGGTATCAAGAAGTTTAAGAAATTATAGATGAAGTATTTAAAGAAAAAGAAAGTTAGAACAGAAGGAACGTGCCATACTCAAAGATTCCAATAGATGGAATCGAATGTATTCATTTTTACTTCTGTGACGGTTTATGATCTTACTTAAAATATATTATTTAAAGGGGTGACAGCAAAATACCGTGGTGTCTCTGATACAGTGAGAAACACCTGATGAAGACGCAGTGACTTCTGCGGCTTCAAATAGCTTCAGGGCTGCAGAGATATCCCCTGTTTGGTTTGAAGAGGGCGCTCTTGTAAAGAAAATATCCTTGCCAAGGCTCTGCTGAGAAACGGGCCCCACTCCCTGAAGTCAGCGTCACCATGGAGATCTTATTCCAGTAAGGGGGAATGGATTCCACGGTCCTGCTTTGGAAATGTGTAAATAGCAGATGCTTTTATTGCCTTTGTTTGAATATCTGCCCTTGCAGAGCAACTCAGGCCGGAAGCTCAGAGGAGAGGAAGTCCATATTTGTCTGTAGCGTTTGTTTCCTCCGTAAGCAGCTTAGTCTCTCGGGATGACTGTGGGTAATGACAAGTTAATGGAAACGATGTGAATTCAGATTTCACATGAAAAGAGTCAGAAAAAGGAATATGTCTTCCTTGAGCCAAAGAAGTAATTCAAACTGCCTTCTTTTTAAAAGGGGGGTTTTATTAGACACCGTTTTTATTATATACTATTAATGTACAATATATGTGGTAACTATTGATCATAATTATTTTATCAGCTGAGATTTATAACATGCAAATGTGAGGGTGCGGGATCGACACATTTTCCTACAGCTTGGGAGTTAAATTCCGATTGCGTTCAAATTCCTACTGATTTTCTGTTTAACCTGGCTACGTTTTTTTTTACGTATAAAATGGGGATACTGACAGCAATAAACTATCGTCAAATAGAGTTTGTCTCCTTCATCGTCGAAAGGATTAAGCGTTATCATGTATAATGAAGATGAAATGTAGTAATATGTGCAGACCATTCCTGTTGGTGTATCATACCAAAAAGTGAATTTTCATATTTACTTTATCATATAATTAATCCTTTATCCCATAATTACTGTGGTAAAGCATATTAGAACCAATACAGTAACTGATAAACAAGAGAATTTAAGTCACTCATCCAAATTCATGCAAGTTATAGCAAATACGGGCTCAGAACCCAGGTATCCTGATCCTCATTCAAAGGCTTTTTCCAGCTCATCTGGCAATTATAATCACCCGTGTTTTTTGAGCTATTGTGGGTATGGCATCATGTTAAGCACCATCACATAAACTCTCATGCAATAAATTGACTGTTTTTCTTTGGAGTTAGAAAAACATTCAACATTGGAGTTAGATTTCCACATAATAACCTAAACACTAAGAAAAAACTGAAAATTAGCCAACAGAATTAAGTGTCATGCACTATAACCAGATTATCTGGTTTGTGCATTGCATATATTACACATACAGTCTCTTTTGCACTGGAGGATATTTCGACAGAGAACAGTTTTCTGAGGAATAAAAATCTCTGGTTCTCATGAAACTAGAAGTTGGTGACAGATCTCAAGAGGCCCTGAGTTAAGACAGTGGTTCCCAGCACATCTGTGAGATCAGGTGCATATGCTTACAAATCACTATTCCCAGCAGCATTCTGTGGAAGGCTAATGGAAATGAGAGGCATAAACCCTGTCCCACCTTTGTGTTAGCAACTTCTACCAGCTTTGCACCAATTCTTTTGTGCAAGTCAAGGTGTACTTTTCATCAAAATAATGATACCGATAGAATCCTTATTCCGAAAGCAAGAAGCGGCACCCATTTGCTACGTTTTCTTCAAGTCAACTTAGAAAAGAAGCACGTT